TGTGCACCACCACACTCAGGTATTTTTTTGTATTTTTAGTAAAAAAGGGGTTTCACCATGTTGGCCAGGCTGGTCTCAAACTCCTGACCTCAAGTGATCTGCCTGCCTCAGCCTCCCAAGTGCTAGGATTACAGGCGTGAGTCACTGTGTCCAGCCTCAGGTAGTTCTTATAGCGGTGTGAGAACGGACTAATACACCGGGGAATATAAATTGTTCTGTCATAAAGACATATGCACACATATGTTCACTGCAGCACTATTCACAATAGCAAAGACATGGAATAAACCTAAATGCCCATCAGTGATAAACTGCATAAAGAAAATGTGGTACATACATGGAATACTATGCAGCCATAAAAAAGAACAACATTACGTCCTTTGCAGCAACATGGAGCTGGAGGCCATTATCCTCAGAAAACTAATGCAGGAACTAATGCAGGAACAACCAAATACCACATGTTCGCACTTATAAGTAGGAGCTAAATGACGAGAACGCAAGGACACACAGAGGGGAACAACACATACTGAGGCTTATGAGCAGGTGGAGGGTGGGAGGACGGAGAGGATGAAGAAAAACGACTAATGGGACTAGGCCTAATATCTGGGTGACGAAATAATCTGTACAACAAACTCTCATGACACAAGGTTACCTATATAATAAACCGCACGTGTATCCCTGAACTTACAATAAGTTAATTTTTAAAAAAGTAAAATTTTAAAAAGAAAATGAGACTATTTTAAAACATTTTGATTGAGAAGGCACAGTCATCTTTTATTAAGGAAAACTGCACGAATTGTTAAAATATGAACACAAAGAAATTGTCATGAAATACAGCTTGATAGCAAAGACTGAATATCACTTGTATCTGCTGCAATTCACTCTATTCCACCAGCTCCAATATCCATTTGTTCTTTCTTCATTAAAAATACTATTAAAGGCTGGGCATGGTGGCTCACGCCTGTAATCCCAGCACTTTGGGAGGCTGAGGCGGGTGGATCACAAGGTCAGGGGATTGAGACCACCCTGGCTAACACGGTGAAACCCAGTCTCTACAAAAAAACACAAAAAATTAGCCAGGCATGGTGGCAGGTGCCTGTGGTCCCAGATACTCAGGAGGCTGAGGCAGGAGAATGGTGTGAACCCAGGAGGCAGAGCTTGCAGTGAGCCAAGATCGCACCACTGTGCTCCAGCCTGGGCGACAGAGCAAGATTCTGTCTCAAACAAACAAAAATAAACTATTAACACTTTCTACTACTGGCAACAATAATTGGAGAATGAGTTGTACTTTCTCTCAAACATTGCAATAAAACTTCCTAACTAACTGTCCTTTCCAAGACAGGGTTTTTAAGAATGTTAAACATCAGACCTTTGTACTGAAATTAATTGCCTGTCATCTAATTTAATAGTCAATTAAAAATGAGTGATTTACCATTTCCTGCAACTTTCAAATACATAAACTGTATTAAAAAGAAAGTAGTTTTCTAGTGCATACATTCAAAACATTCTGAAGTACTACATATTCTTAAAGAAAAAAACTCAGATCAATAAAAGGCAAATTTATAAGTGCTGCTCTTCCAACATTCCACAAGCATTTATTGAATATTATATATTCAATATTAAATATTAGGTGCCAGGCATTGTTTTACACTGTAGGAAGTCAGCAATGAACAAAACAAACATAAATCCCCACCCTCAAGATGTTTACTAGATATTCTAGCCCATTATATTTTAGAAGTCTGACACAAACACACACATACACACAATTAGAAATCTATCCTTCAAATCAAAACAAAGTCAGCCTCAAAAGCCCGATTAACAACCTGTGACAAAAACACTGTAAATGCATGAAGGAAAGAAAAAAGTTTTTTGGAAAAGTAAAAATAAAAAATTCTAAGCCAATATCCTTTATAAAATAATATAAATAATTCTTATTTTTAATATACTCTTCTAAAAGATAATACTGGCCAGGCGTGGTGGCTCACGCGTGTAACCCCAGCACTTTGGGAGACCAAGTCCGGCAGATCATGAGGTCAGGAGAACCAGATCACCCTGGCTAACACGGTGAAACCCCGTCTCTACTAAAAATACAAAAAATTAGCCGGGCGTGGTGGCGGGCGCCTGTAGTCCCAGCTACTCAGGAGGCTTAGGCAGGAGAATGGTGTGAACCCGGGAGGCGGAGCTTGCAGTGAGCCGAGATCACACCACTGCACTCCAGCCTGGGTGACAGAGCGAGACTCTGTCTCAAAACAAACAAACAAAAAAATAATATTATATGCCAGACAATGAGAAGCTATTTTTTAAAGCCACGTAAGTTTTGGGTATAACAAACCACAATTCAAAAAGAACCTGTGGACTACTAATTATTAATTCTATAATTCAGGATATAAAGAAATTAACAGAGATAACAGCAGTCACCATTATTATTTGCTGAGTATCTGCAATACGACAACCACTGTCTTAGCTATTTTATGTATATTACCTCTAATACTATACAATCTCAGTGTTGTTACTTTAGAGTCTCATAAGTAAATTTTTTAAATGAACTAAATATTAATAATACGGTTATACAGGAAAGCAGGCCCATGTTGTAAAGATATTAGTTGTTAAGAGGAACATTTTTTCTTTTTTGAGACAGGGTCTCACTCTGTCCCCCAAGCTGGAGTGCAGAGGCACAATCATGACTCACTGCAGCCTCGACCTCCTGGGCTTAAGTGATCCTCCCACCTCAGCCTCCCGAAGAACTGGGATAACAGGAGTAAGCCACCACCCCAGGCTAAGAGGAACACATTTTAAGAGAAAAATAATTGCTGCCAAACTTGAGTAGTAAAATAGATAATTCTTTCTAAGATATTAAGTAATTTATCATCTCAGCTACTTTGAAACACATCTTGGTTTCTGTTTCTTCCAAATTACCAACTAAAGGTTTAAGACAATAACCAACTAGAAGTGGTGAAAACAAGCACTGGATGACAAACCAACAGAAGACCAAACACATCTCTGACACTAATTGGATAGGTGAGTTTAGGCACACATTTCTCTTGAGGCCTTAATCTCTTCATCAATAAAAAGTAGGCATCATAATGCCAGCATAGGTGATGCAAACTTCCTGTGAGATCCTGTGAAAATACTTGTCAAAGTGTTCACAATAATAAGGAATTATTAGATAAGCCCTATGAGCTCTTTCAGCTCTAAAATGATAGTACAGTCATGTATCACTTAACAACAGGGAGATGTTCTGCAAAATGCGTCATTGGGTGATTTCGTCATTGTGAAAACATCATACATAGAGTGCAGTTACACAAATCTAGATGGGATAGCCTACTACGCACCTAGGCTGGGTGGTATAGCCTATTGCTCCTAGGCCACAAACCTGCTCAGCACGCTACTCTACTGAATACTCTGGGCAACTGGAGCACAATGGTATTTGTGTATCTAAAAACAGAAAAGGTACAGTAAATGGTATAAAACGTAACAAATGCCTGTACAAGGCATTTACCATGAATGGAGCTTGCAGAACTAGAAGTTGCTTTGGGTGGGTGGGTGGGTGGGTGGGTGAGTGAGTGAGTGGCGAGTGAAGGGGAAGCCCTAGGACAGGACATTACTGCACACTACTGTAGACTTTAGAAACACTGTAAACTTAGGCTCTACTACATTCATTTTATAAACTTTCTTTCTTCAATAATAAATTAGCCTTCTCTTACTGTAACTTTTTTACTTTATAAACTTTGTATTTTTTTACCTTTTTGACTTCTGTGATAACATTAACTTAAAACACAAACACACTGTAGATACTCCTGTATAAAAAAATTTTTCTTTCTTCACATTCTTGTACTATAAACTTTTGCATTTTATTTTATGCTTTTAATTTTTTAAACATTTTTGTTAAAAACTAAAACACAAATACATACATGAGCCTAAGCCAACCCAGGGTCAGGATCATCAATATTACTGTCTTCTACCTCCACATCTTGTCCCACTGGAAGGTCTTTAGGGATGGTAATACTCATGGAGTTGTAATCTCCCATGATAAGAATGCCTTCCCCTGCAATGCCTGAAGAACCTGCCTAAGGCTGTTTTATAGTTAACTTTTTTTTTTTAATAAGTAGAAGGAGTACTCTCTAAAATAATGATTAAAAAGTACAGTACAGTCAAGCCCTCCATATCCGCAGGTTCCACATCCTCTGATTCAACCAACTGTGGATTGAAACTACAGCATTTGAGGGATATAGAATCTGCAGATATGAAGGCCTGACTTTTCACATCAGTAGGTTCTACCGGGAAAGAAATTGAAGCAGTGAAAAAGATTAGATTATTTGATTTTCCCCCAAGATGGGAGTATGATTTGATTCCCCTACAAGACAAGAGTATGATTTGATTCCCCAGTGTAGGTACAGACTCTTGTGAAAGTCAAACAGAGAAACAAATGTAACCACCTCACAGAGGCAGTTCCTGAGTATCACTGATATTCATCTGGATGTAACTGTCTAACATCCTTGCCATGGATCCATGCTTTTCCAGCTAAGTAACAAGACAGTAAAACAATGGTACTTAAAACCCAGGGTCAAGAGGCACATTTCTTCTTGGAGCATCAGTAATCTCAGATTTGGGGAAGAATTTTTTTTAATATTAAGCCAAAGAAGGATATATTATGAACAACAATACAAAATTCACAAGATTTGTAAAGATAAAATACGAAATTCAAAGATATATATATAATGCTTCTAGGAGAACTCCTTGAGCTATATTCCCAGACCCCCAAGAAGGCTGGGTATATCCTCTATAATTATTTTTCTTTTAAGATAAGGTTGATACACAGTAAAATATACAAATATTCAGCAACAGCTCTATGAATTCTTACTAATGCATATAGCCACATAGTGTACATGAATACACTCAGATGAAGATACAAAATATTCGAGGTTCATTCAGCTTTGACCTTAAAGGTACTTCCAGGTAAAAATGTTTGAGAAGCCCACCACAGTTAAGCCAATTTGCGTTACCTGTTCTTGTCCCTGGTGACTGTAAAACTTGATGCTTAACATCCTTAATAATCCCAGTGTCTTCGGTGCCTGCGAAATAAATGCATCATATGAAGAAAGATTATTGAAATGACTTATCATTGTAAAATGTCCTTTTATAATGAAATGAAAACTATAGCAAATTTAGTATTTTTTTTTTAATGATTAAAGAAAATCACCAATAAGGTGTCAAGGATCTTGGTGAGACTGTTTTTGTTTAGAAAAAAAAAATTCACCAAGTGGTACAATCTTACAAAATACCTCCATGATCAAATGCTTTTTTAACTATATAACCAGTAAAATTTATGCAAATCAGAATCCACTGAAAGCTCTTCTCAAGTAAGGCTGCCCAAGGTTGCCATTTTATCCTAACATCAGTATGGAAAAAGCAAAAACTTCCCAAAGAAATTTCATCTATTAACAATTGATTCTATGCTTGAAAAACACCAAAAAAAAAAAAACAAAAAAAAAAAAACAACTTCATCTTTAGAAATCAGTGAATAAAATAACTTAATCTAACACATGACAATTTTTGTCTTTAGGCTTAGAAACTATATTTTTTTAATGGAAAATAACATTGTTGAGGATGTAGGGAATCTGGAACCCTCATACACTATTGATGGGAACATAAAACCGTACAGTCACCATGGAAGATGTTTGGTGGTTCCTCAAAAACTTAAACATGAAACTAACATGTGACCCAGCAATTCTATCCAAGATTTATACACAAAAGAATTGAAAACAAGCATTCAAACAAATATTTGTACATGAATGTTCACAGCAACAATATTCACAATAGCCAGAACTTCTGAGTTGAAAACATTAGGGACGGCCTTGATACACATCTCCAAATACTTCCTCCAAAAAAAGTAAGAACAAGAAAGGGAGATAAATCTACACAAAAACCATGCTCTCAGCTTAGCCTGAAGATAAAATTTTATAGTAACTGTAAGCAAAAAGAAAGAAATCACCAAATCCCAGTGTGTCATCTCCATTGCTCCTGCTAAAACCTATGTCCCCACTCACCCCCACTGTGACCTGCCACAAGGTGTGGTGGTGAGCAAAAGCAAATTGAAAAACACCCGGGAAGGACAGAGGGGAGCTAGCAAAAATGGCTAAGGTCCATTTAAAACCAAAACCGCCACCAAAAAGACTAAGTCCACTCTGAGTGAAAATACTATAACAGCATCCAGGTTGATCAGACATGGCCTACAGGGAAGGGACCTAAGTGTGGGCATGATGTGAAGAGGCAGGCTTCCAAACACAGAGCTTCTGAGGGAGAAAAATGGCAAATAGGAAGAAGTGCCTTTTGCCAAAGGGGTGGCAACGGGGAAAGGAAGCAAAGGGGCAAATGTAGTGTGCAGCAAGACAGTAGACAACCACAACATCAGAAGATCCACGCCCCCTCCTGCCACCAAAACAAAACCAAAAAAATCTAGTAAGGTATATGAACTTTGCTATAGTGACAAAAGAAGGCACCAGTAACCTACGAATCTTGTAAAGTATTCCAATATCATAAAAATGAACAAGAAAGAGAGTCACAAACACTTTGCAGACATGAGAAGACAAAAGTCAACACGTGTCAACAAAGGGAAATTATGGCTGAAAAAACAACCATGAAGCAAAAGAAAACTTTAACATAGCACTCCAAACGGAATTAAATATAGTCAGACAAGCATTTGAGAATGTGGACAACTTGAAAAACCATCAAAAAATTCAGTAACTGAGAATAGAACTGGACAAGAAAAGTGAAAAAGAATTAATAATAGAAAGTTCAATAAATTCAGCAAAGAAATACAAGAAAAAGACAAAATTATATAAAAACTAAAGAATACAAGGTATCCAAAGGATAATTTAATAAGGGGCTTTAAAGGAAGACATGAAAACAATGAAAAAATTAAAATGAGTTAAGAAGTGAAAAGGAAATGAGATAAAAGGAAGAGGTAAAAAGAGTAAAGAAAAACTACTGGAAAGAGAATATAGTAAAAAGCAGTAACATTTGGATTGCCATAGAATCTGAAGAAGATAAACAAAACCAAAGCACAGAATATTTAAACTATAATCCATGAAAACTTTACAGAAACAGAAAATGGAAAAAATAGAAACAAAAAAAAAACTGAATCTACACACTAAAAGAACCAATGCATACCTAGGAAATTTAAACTCAGAATGATCAACTACAATATCCTCGGAAGCTATTAGATTTCAAAGATAAAGAAAATAAAGACCTGCAAGAAAAACTGACTAATAACATACAAAGGGTAAATAATTTGATTGCATCAGATTTTTTAAACCCCACATACAAAGCAAAACAAGAGTAGCATTTTTTAAAAGTTTAATGAAAGAAAAGGCGAACCAAGGATTTTATAGCCAGACAAGTTTTCCCTCAAATATCAAGGCTATGGCAAAACAGTTTTGAACATAAAATACAAAAACTTAAGAAACTCATCACCTATGATCTCTTCTCAAAACATACCAGGAAATAACTTCATCCAACCACAAGACTGGGAAAACTTCAGCAAAAGAACTGAGTAAGCATTTTGAAGTACATAAATAAATGACTAAGACTAACGAAAGCTGGGAAGAAAAGTAGACACCAAAGTATAAATATTATGTATGTGACCATGCAGAAATAAAACAACAAAAAAGAGAAAGAGGAAAGCAGAATAAGCTGGGTTTTGTATAAGCAATTAGTAGAAATGAAAGAATATCAAGAAAACAAACTCGTAAAATGCTGGAAGACATTGATAATATCAATAAGGATAGTTTCCATGAAATGATGGAGGCAAATCTCCATTCAAGTGAATTCAAGAGAGAATGGAAGAAGAGGAATTGGAAACAAATACAGACAACTCTTGAACACTGTAAGGAAAGGAAAAGAAATGGGATGGCAGCTAGAGGGCAAAGTGAGTCTGAAGAGTTTTTGTGAGAGGAAAAATAAAAGCATGCTATATGCTGATAAACCTAAGAGATAACAAAATTCCTGATGTAAGAGGAATATCCTTCAATTAACAAGAGTGGGAGATCTAGTGGACAAACACAGGGGTTGGCCTCAGCCGGAGCAAGGACAGTTCCTCTGTCTGGACAAAAGAAAAGTTACAGTACACAGGCACAGCTGCCGGCAGGCTGTGGGATCCTACAGAAGTATTCCTCCTGATTACTTCTATTTTTTCAGGGAAATAGGATTTCTCATGGAAATAGGACTTCAAAAAGTCTATGTTCTTTCCACAACAACCTTCTATATTGAAAAAGCAGCAGCAGTAGCAGCAATAATAAAAATTCAGTCAACTTTGTTCATTCTTACAGTTTTCCAAAATTTTGATCTTAAAAACACAGACAACAATAACACTGTAGATCATCTTACAGTTTATCAAATGTCTTTACAGTGGCAAGGGATAAGGTGGAATTCAAACACCAGCCTTCTGACTCCACAGCCTGAATCTTTCCGTTGTCCCAGCTACTGAATTCTAATCTGGTACCTGTTTTAGCTTATTGCATTTATTTGAGACATAGCTGTTCAACATGCAATGAATCCCTTGACGGCTGCTACCAGTAATTTTATATTCTTAATACCTGAAGCAGTGATTAAACGTTGAACAAATGAATAAATAAAACTATCTCACATAGATGACACTAACATTAATTTGGAAACTTGGGTCAATGCACATATTGAATTTTGCATAGTCTGTTTTACAACCTAGCAGCCTTGTGAGAGGCTATGAGGTATGTGTCAGCAGCATTTTTCAGTCAATACCTACATCAAGACAACAGCAACCTGAAACAAACAGTAAGAGGAGGTCAATGAGAACAATGTCTGCTGCCTGACAAAAAGAGCTAATCCCATAACCTCAAATTATTTTGAGGTAAGGGAAGGCTATGCAGAATGACTGTAAGTTTAGCTGCAAGACACAGCCACTAACATAATTAAAATACACTTGCAGCATTTCAAGAAGTTAATCATACAGCAGAGCATTCAATTTGCAATTCAATATTTTTCCCACTTATTTTGTCAGTGCTCAAGCAATTTTCTTTTAAAAGACTTCAATATCGAAGCCTCAGGCCACAAGGAGAAGGACCATACATAGCAGAGCAGATTCCAATACTTCAGTAAGGTGCAAAGGGAAAGCACAGGAGAATTCAAAGAAACCAAGGTGAAAAAACGTTCCTTGGTATGTGACTTCCCATTTGCTTGTCCAAATAAACACTTGATTACACCAAACCAAAAGGGACTGTCACCACTTACCTTATATCCTCTACACGCACCAACTTTCCTTTTCTCCTCAACCCTATTTTGACAAATTTCACAGCTACGGAAAAGTTGAAATGATTGTACAAAGAAACACAACTATACCTCTCACCTGGCTAGACCAGTTATTAACATTTTGTCACATTTGCTTTATCTCTAGGTGTGTGTGTATATATGTATACAGACACACATACTTTCAATTTTTTTTTTTTTTTTTTTTTTACTGAATCATTTGAAAATAAGGTGCAGACTTGGCCGGGCATGTTGGCTCAGGCCTATAATCTTAACACTTTGGGAGGCCAAGGCAGGCAGATCACCTGAGGTCAGGAGTTTAAGACCAGCCTGGCCAACATGGTGAAATCCCATCTCTACTAAAACACAAAATTTAGTCAGGCATGATAGGGGGTGCCTGTAATCCCAGGTAATTGGGAGGCTGAGATGGGAGAATCGCTTGAACCCGGGAGACAGTGGTTGCAGTGAGCCAAGAAAGCTGCAGACATCATGCTTACTTTAGACAGAGCTAAGAGAAACTTCTTCAAACTCTTTCTAAGATCTGCCCCGAAACATCCTGCATATAAAACTACAAGCTGGATATGACCTAAATCAGAGAGATAAACATAGCTAAATTCCTACAGATATGAACTAATGTGTCCAATATGTACGAGTAACTTCTACCTCACTTTACTTTTTATAGATTATGGGATAATCATCACAGCAAATACTAGTGCCACTGATACGAACATAATTTGATGCAGTGGGGGGTGCAGAACAGAAATTAGAAGATCTGGCCCATCTCATGCCTCTATTTTCAGTTATTATGTTCTACTGTGCCTTGGGCTCCTTATTTGTGAAACGTGGCCAATAATACACCAACTGTTCTCCTTACTAGGTTCTGCAGAGAGAATAAAGGGCCAGTAGACTAAGTAGATGGATAATAAATAGAAGGAAAGGCATATGCACAGTACTGCATAAGCTGTTCTACACGTACAAACTGGTTTAATGTCTGGTGCCATGTAAACCAGTAAGTTGACTTCATTTAAAGAAAAAGAAACTACTACTTTGTTGGGTTAAATCACAATCACACACTGCAGTATATATTAAATGCTAAAAATAAAATTCACACAGGATTACTATAATTGCTAAAGATTTCTTTTCAAAAGTACATCTTCATTAGTTTACTTTCAATACTAAAATCTTTAAGTTTGTTGTTTTAGAACATAATTTGAAATCAATATATTTTTAGGCAAATTAATTATCAAAATGAATGCATAACATGTTTGATTATGTTGTGTTTCAATTTAATTTCTAGATTTCTTCCCTCACTGAAAAAATATCTGAGTGCCCCCTAGGTAACATGGTAAGGCCAAGCTGCATAATTTTGACCAAGTGCTCACTTTTCTTTTCTTTTTTTTTTTTTTGAGACAGAGTCTCACTCTGTCACCCAGGTTGGAGTGTAGCGGCAAGATCTCAGCTCACTAAAATATCTGCCTCAGGTTCAAGTGATTCTCCTGCCTCAGCCTCCTGAGTAGCTGGGATTACATACAGGTGCACACCACCACGCCCAGCTAATTTTTATATTTTTAGTAGAGACGGAGTTTCACCATGTTGGTCAGTCCGGTCTCGAACTCCTGACCTTGTGATCTGCCCACCTCGGCCTCCCAAAGTGATGAGATTACAGGCATGAGCCACTGCACCCGGCCCAAGTGTTCACTTTCATACAGTTTACACAAATAACTAAGATACATAAGATTGCAGTGTGGCCAGGAGGTAAACATAATTACTCTTTACCAATACCTAGTTTTTCATACCTTTCTGGACACATAGAAAACTATTTCCCAGGCCCCTTGAAGCTAGGGGTGCCACAATACAATAAATGAACTGTAAGTAGAACCAATGTCACTTCTGGTCTAAGACAGTAAAAATTCCAACTTTTATCCCTCCCTTCCCTTCCTAAGACCATAAACTGAGATAGTGGGAGCTCAAAAGGTCACCACTCTCCACGGATCTTTTAATCATCACTTGAAACAAGCTGCCCAGGAGAGTCATGATCTCAACAGCAGGTTTTGCCACAAAATAAGGAAAAAATCTGAACATGATAGGCCACAGAAATGTCAAGACTTTGCATTTGCTCATTTGATTGTCTGAATTATCAAAATAGAGCCTAGCCTATGCTGACTACTACAGCCTTAAGGACTGCCTGACACAAAACAGAAGCTCAATAAATAAGTATAGAATGAATGGATGGATAGATGAATAGTCCATATAAATATGGAACAATATGGAAATCTGGACTCTAATTCCACCACTTGCTAGCTGGATGACCAGGGCAACTTACTTAATTACAGCTCACTCACCACCTCATCAAACAGACTTGGGCCAGTAACAATATTTACCTCAAAGGGTTACTTAGAATTAAACAAGTTAGAGCATATAAAAAGCACTCAGAATAGTTGCCAACACATTAAAAAGCACTTAATACATGTTTACATCTAAACAAGCAAATACAAGGAATGGACTACTGTCAGGTTGGTTTTCTAATATCTGAAAATGTCACCACTAAAAATTATTCCAAGTTAAATACAACATGCCTCAGTTGAATTTGCTATTTGAAAGAAATAAAATTATACCAGCATTAATTCACTGTCCTCATTTAAGACGAAATTATTTCTTCCTCTATACCTTACATAGGACTTATTTATCTAAGACAAATAGCATAGTGAAATGACACACAGCAAAGTGAAGTGCCATAACTCATAACTCATACTTACCGCAGTAACTCTGTCTCCACCATTAGTAACCTGCTTGTAATACGGAGATCCTGAAAGAACTCTCCAGGCAGAAAGGCCACAGCTAGAAGCTTTTGACATGCCTACTTCAGCAGTTTCACATCCACCGACCAACAAAAGTCTAAAAAAGAGAAAAATTTTAAAAATCGATAAATTGCAAATGTAAATAAGAGCAAAACAAAGAGCAGAAACAGTCACCTTGATAAAGAAAATTTACAAAGTACTATTAATATATGTTAAACCTAGAAGGTAAATATTTCAGAGCAAACAATTAAAAGAAAACCAAACTGTTTTTCAATTTGAATTTCACCGTATACTAAGGCTTATATATTCAGGCACCTGAAACCCAGGTGGGAACATAGAAATGAAGAAAAAACTTACGGCTGGCAACTGAATATCAAAAAAACTGTATCAACACCAATAAACATTAATAGATGTGCAGCCTCACCCAGATACATTATGCATTAATTATGGCAACATATCTGATGCAATGAGGGAGCCATTACAGAATGCTAGAAAGAAATGACACCCGGGAGAGACCGAATGTGAAAGAACCACAGAGCAATAATTATACAAAAATAAGACTGGTCGGTAGTTTAGCTGCACACTATGATTGGTTCACTTTGCTGCTTGTTACACTCCATTCACAACTGGAGGCCAGTTACCAACATGGCAAACAGCCTAACATATACTAAAAGTTAAAAGACATTACTGTGTAACCACCCTAAACAAAGCTATTTAATAAAGGAACCCCAACAGTCACAATTTTTAAAGTTATGTTCAGTACTTCTGGCAGGGACCTGTATAACAGACACCATAATCATCTGTCTAAAGAAAGAAAAAAAGTCTGAAAGTTCTGTTTACCTCCTTCTTGGCCATACCCATAGAAAAACCAAATCTTGAAAAATGTATGTTTCTACATAGAAATTGAAAGGTCAAAGAAAACACTTCGTAAAGTTATTTAGAGTTGGCATATCACTAATTCAGTTACAATTTACGTCAACTAAAGCTAACTTTAAATGTTATAAAATTATAAATATCAGTACCTCGTGACATAACACCATGAGCTCTCAATACTGAGCCTTCGAGACCAGTGACGGTGTATGCCCAAGGTAGTCAAAAGCACTATATTATTGTAGAAAGCAACACCTGGTTTCTGTTAATTTTGTTCACCTTGTATAGCAGGTCACACAATGGCCCCCAAAAGATGCCCATGTCCTAATCATTGCAGCCTGTGAGTATGTTCTATTACATGGATGTAAGGTTGTAGATGGAATTAGGGTTGCTAACCAAATGACTTGAACATAGTGAGAGTATCCGGAATTATTCAGGTGGCCCCAAAGTAATCACAAGGATCCTTAAAGGTAGAAAGAGGCAGCAGAAGAGTTAATGTCAGAGTAATGTAATGTGACACTCAACTGGCCACCACTGGCTTTGAAGGTAGAAGAGGCCACAAGCCAAGGAATCTGGGCAGCTTCTAGAAGCCGGAAAAGGCAACAAAATAGATTCTCCCCAAGCCTCCAGAAAAGAACACAGCCCTGAGGATATGTTTGATTTTAGCCCAGTGAGATCCATTTCAGACTTCTGATCTCCAGGACTGCAGGGTAAGTTTGTGTTATATCACCAAGTTTGTTATTCATAGAAAATGAATATATACCTTTTTTCCTTCCTAGTCCCAAAACTGAGATGACCTGTCACACTCTAATGCCACCAAAAGCCCTCTTCACATCTGACTACTCACTTTCTAAAGTGTTTCTGAACTAAGCTAATAATAACAATTAAAGAACTCATCTCTACCATATACTCTTAGATCCAGATTTTTCAAAATTGTACAAAATCCTTCTAGATTTAATTATGAAGTGTAGCCCAACTCAAAATCTCAAAATCCATAAAGTAATTTAAATGCACTTTCTTCACAGAAACACAACTTGAGCCTTCACACAAAGCCTTTTCCCTACTGCCTTTATATGTGGCTCTAACAAATTTTCATCTCAGCAAATCAGAAGCAAAAAACTTTGAGATGATGCCTTGAAGCAACCTATTTGGGCTGTTCCTACCCTAAGCAAATCCTTAGAGCTAACAAGTAATTAACCCTGCTCACCGGCGCAAAAGAGATTGTGGTCCCAAGTCTGGCTGGTAGTATAAGTATTACTTGCCCAGAGCATTCATTCTCCTCAAATGATTCTATTACAGTAAACTATTTCCCAAAAAAAGGGGGGATATATCTAGTGCAGATAAAATCATATTATCCCTCAGAATCTAACTCTCAATTTGGAGAAAATATTGATGAAAAAAGAAAAATAAACAACACTACAAAGATGCAATCAACAAAAACTAGACAGTGAGAAACTAAAAAATAAATGGCCTGGGTTTTCTTTCAGAACCCACATACACAAAATCAAAGCAAAAGAGCAACAGATAGAAGGAGGAAATGGAGAGCAGATCAATGAATTAAAAGAAAACACAGGCTGGGTGCAGTGGCTCATGTCTGGGAAGGGTGGATAGGGAAATGGCTGGGTATACAGGTAAAATGAGACTGGCCATGAGCTGACTGTTGAAACTGAGTAACAGACACTAAGGAGTCAGTATACTATTCTACTTTTATACATGCTTCAAATTTTACATAAATTTCTTTCTCAAAAGTCCATTTGATAGGAAAAAATCCTCTGAATAAATAGAAACAAAAGGGGTAATCTGGAATATCCAAAGTTCAGAATTTAATCACAATGTTTTTTCAATCCGAAAACATGTGATTCCTAAAACATACCTTTAAAAACTAGTAACCTCTATTTGAAAAAAAAAATCACTATTTGAGAATTCAATAAATTCCCAAAAGGCCACTGTAAAACAGTTCCTTGATAACTGAAATAACGTCACTTTGATCAATGTCCAATGTATATATTTGTGTTAAAAACATATAATAAACATTAATCTATTTGTAATACGTAATTTCTACTAATTAAATTTATGTTAACATAGGTATGAAACTTTAAGTTGGCTGACTACTGAAGGAGTTACAGACCTAAGTGATAATCCAGATTTTTTATGTCCTGGGTATTGGAAGACACTTCCTCTCTATGAATTCTGATAAGTAGTATAGCCATGCATAGATTAAATTGGCTACAAAACATTAAGATCCCCTGAGAACAAAAGGGATTCAGTATCTGTTCCCAGCCTTTCCTCCATTCATGCCAGACTGAAGAATAAGTAGGAAAGCAGCAGAATGATGAAACAAATCATGTGCTGTTCCAATCAGAAAGATAGCAGCTTTAGGACACTGATGCTCCAGCTCTAAGAATGCATATGTGTTCACACCTCCAAGTAGGCACGGGTGCTCGAGTATGTTTAAAGGGGAAGAAATGGAGATAACTGAATCAACATCTTCACAAAACAGGCAACTGGCAGCTGCTGAGTGCAGGGCAATGTGCAGAGCACTGAGTGTACAAAGATGAACAAGGCATGCTCTCTGCATTTAAAAGCTCACTCTCTAAAACACACACACACAAAAGGAAGAACACATGGGAGCATGAAATTATTGGCACAAAAGATGACAGACCACTCTGAAGATGATAAGCCAATCTAAATCTACGAAACGGTTTTTCTTTAGTTATACATGCCAAGGGGCCAGCCTGGGAAACATGTCTCCACAACAAATATAAAAATTAGCTGGGCATAGCAGTGCATGCCTGTAGTCCCAGCTACCTGGAAGGCAGAGGCTGCAGTAAGCCAAGATCGAGGCACCACTTCAGCTTAAGTGATAGAGTAAGACTTTCTCAAAACAAACAAACAAAATCCCCAAGGGGTATCAACCCCAATTCAGACTCCATTACTTTATTATTTAATAAGATGCACAATGTTGACTAGAACTAATCTACAAGTGATTAAGAAAGTAAAAGTAAAAGCAGGCTTATGGTGATGACTGGCCAAATAAACGTGCTCCATCATGATTACAGTGTTCAGAACAGCTTCCAGGGCAACAGTGGCCAGAAGTGAGGAGAAATAAAGTTCCACTGGTAAAACCATGTAACTTTAAAAAATGTCAGTCGATGGAAAAGAGAAGAGTCTGAAAGTCAGCACAATATACCCAATATATGTTTGCTGAGGGGCTGTGAACTGAATGTCCACATTTCTCATTAGGAGGCACAGAGTGAAGAGGGTACAAAGACACCCATCTTCTCACTGCTTGTCCTCACTGTACGTTTCAGCAGTAAGATATGACGAGATAAGGTGGGGAGAAGGGAAGGGTCATGGCAATGGAGGCAGGGAAAGTTGGAGTCACACTGATTAAAATGGACAAGACAATGCTAAGCCAAGAATTTGCTATTTTTAAAGAAATATTGATAAGAAAATTTCATGCTTGTGACAATTATAAGAGGTGAATGAAGAGGGAGAGATACTATCTCCTTTGGTGGATATTTTAAAAACACCAATTCCTCTTAATTTACAAATTGAATGCAATTTCACATAAAATCCTGTAAGAATTTTTCATGGAATTGAACACACTGATTTAACGAAACTAGAAAAACACAGAATTCCCATGGGAAAACAAAAGTTCTAAGAAGAGCCAACTCAGTTCATGCTGATCAATCTTTCACTTATGAGCTGGGGTTTGTGCATCTTGACCTGTAAACATTTTCCGGCCCTGCCATCATTAAGACAATCTCGCTCGAATTTGACCATATTAAAATTTAAAACTTCCATTCATAAAATGAAGACCAGGCCTGTAATCCCAGCACTTTGGGAAGCCCAGATGGGCGGATCACCTGAGCTCAAGAGTTTGAGACCACCCTGGGTAACATGGTGAAACCCCATCTCTACTAAAATACAAAAAACTATCTGGGTGTGGTGGCGTGCACCTGTAGTCCCAGCTACTCGGGAGACTGAGGCACCAGAATCGCTTGAGCCTGGGAGGCAGAGGTTGCAGTGAGCCGAGATTGCTCCACTGCACTCCAGCTTGGGCTACAGAGTAAGACTCCATCTCAAAAAAAAAAAAAATGAAGCCTGGGAGAAGTTATTTACAACACATAGAACTAACAAAGTATTAGTAGTATCAGTAGGCAGAATTTATAAAGATGTTGAAAAGAAAAGTAGAAAAATGATAAGCAACAGCAAATCGCAAAA